ATATATATATATATACACACACACACACACTACAGTATAACATTTAGAAATTGATGGATTGCAGTTGATCCCCTTCAACAAAATCCCAGTTTCACGCCTGGAATGTACAGGTACTGTAAAGTAAAAAAATCAAATGGTTCGTTGTTGTCAATTTATGTTACGTTTAGCAACTGTGAGATTGGTATATTGGTGAACGTTAGTTACGCTAACTGTGAAATTTGAACTTGAAAAAATATAACATTTTATTCTTGTTATCTTTAATTGGAATGAACTTTTTATTATTCGTTTTACCAAATAATCCAGAATAACCCGATCTATGATAAAATAAAAACGTCAAACCATTTTACTACTGGATTAAATTCTTGGTTATCAACCTACCTAGCTGCTTCCTTCAGAGCACCCCTTTCACTCAATGTAGTACGTTTAATATCGTCAAAGTTTTTCTCTAGCAATTTGCGTGACTAATGAGAAAAACAAACAAAAATAAAACTTACTAAATATATAAAACAGATAAAACTTGCATTAATAACCACATTAAAATTATATTTTTAAATAATCGCAAGAATATCCTTCTAAATTAAATATTAACATTAAAAACATTTTGTAAACAAAAACGCGAGTTTCAACGTCAGAGATGCGTATACTGATATGTCACGAGACGGCAAGTTTCATGTGCTGTAGACACATGAACGTAAAAATCTTAAAACCTATATTATAAATGCATTAGATAATCATACACACTTATACGCTATATTATTACATTATTATTCCAGTGGAAGTTCTAATAAAATAATTTTATACGTGGTAAGACTTTCGGTGTGTAGATGATATGGCGTACAAAAAACACCCATAAACGTGACAACAATAATAACAATGTTATAATAAATATTCAATATATATATAACGTGGTAAGACATTCAGTGTGTAGATGATATGGCGTACAAAAAAAATACCCATAAACGTGATAATAATAACAATGTTATAATAAATATTTAATATATATATAATTATATATATATAACGTGGTATGACTTTCAGTGTGTAGATGATATGGCGTACAACAAACACCCAGAAACGTGACAATAATAACAATGTAATAATAAGTATTCAATATATATATATATATAAACCAAGTGTCGGTCGGTCACACTCGATTGCTCCAAATTTCGTGTTACACGAGTCCAATTCAACTTTTTCTCTTACAATATTTCCTCTTTTTATTGCCCGTTTCCATTTTAGTTGAATTTAATCACTAACATAGGTGTAAATAGCTCCTAAATGTCGGCACTTTTTCTGCTATATAATAGCCTGTTAAGGAGGGAGTTCCCAGGACCAGATCATGAATGGCATTATGTGTGCGACACCACATCATCATGACGTCGAGCTAGGTGGGATTCGAATAGGAAACCCGAGAAGTCTCCAGTGATCGAAGACACGAAAGTGCCTTCACGCCCTATCAACGTCTGTGAAAAATAAGTAAAAAATTAGCGCAAATCTGTGCTTGGGAATTATTATAAAAAAGCCTTTATTAAAACAGACTGAAGATACCAATTATCTTCGATGACGAGGAACCCACTTTGAGACTAATAATGGCTGGAGACGGCTTGAATGGGTAATGAAGAAAAACTTTAATATGAGTTTAACATAACAGTAAATGTGTACCTGATGATGACAAAACCTTGTCGAAACGTTGTACATTTACTGTTATGTTAAACTTATATTAAAGTTTTTCT